GGGGCCGTTATCCTTTTTCTCCACAAAGTCGATTTTTTTGGAACGCAGGTAGTCGACAACGGGACGGGCATAATGACAAGATGCCATATCCGGCCAGAAAAGGACATCACGGTTATTGATAAAGGGGACCAATATCTTCTTTACGCAATTGTTCAAATAGCGCTCAGTGTTCATAGTTTCGGTGGTGACGTAGGGTTTTGAAACATTACCATCAGAGTCAAGAATTTGGGAAATTAAATATTTCTTGGCAAATTTTGCCTTAGGCTTATATTTAAATTTTTCTGACACGGTCACCTTATCAGAGGAAGAGTAGAACTTCAAGCCAGGAACGTCATATGGGTCAATTGGGCAGTATGTCTCGTCATCCATGACGAGAATCTTGGTCGAGATTGGGTCGAGGCGTTTCTCCGCAATTTTGCGACAGTTAGTTTTAGCCCTTGCTTTTTGATTTTTTTCGTATTTTGGAGTAGTTGTAACCCTATAGATTTGATCCCCAACTTGTCAGCTTTAATTAAATGCAGGGTTGTCTTTGATATTTTCAATTTTAGGGCTAAATTTCGTTCTGACCATGATGGGTCTTTTTTATACGCAGTGTCAATAGCATTAATCACTTTAGGGGTCATCACACGAGCACGGCGTCAAGTAGATTTTTTGTATTCAGCTGTTCCTGATTCCTCAAACCTATCCAGAACTTGGTAAATTGTCGAGTTTGCGATTCCTTCGCTTTTGAAATGACTATAAGTCAACTTCCGCGAGCGTCCGCACACATTTTCGTGGTAGTGGCAGACGCGTTTGGCAACTTGCTGTGAATTTTATGTCCTCATTTTTGAACCATGTGACCTAGCGACTTCTGGTTTTCGGATACTAGCAGCCAGTTAAATTTCCAACAAAAATATGACACTGTCAATGGTGAGACTTATCGTGTCATGTATATATATGCATTTGCAGAAAGTTCGTATGAATTGTGACCACCCTTTAGATATCCGCCCTCTAAAATGAAAAGTGTACAATTAGCAAAATTTGTTAGCAATTATCAACCACCCTCGTCAGACTGGCTTATCTGTCCATGCAGAGTCTTGTGTGAGTATGGTAAGCATTAAAATAATTAAGTGCAAAATTTTGATAATCTTGAATTAATTAACTTTTTTTAAACAGACGATTTGATTGTGGCAAGAGAGGCTTCCATACTTGCAGAAGAGACATCCGACCTTGAAACCAGCAAAATCGATGAAAAAGATTCACGAAGAATTAAGCGGAAACAAGTGACGAAGAATTAAGCGGAAACAAGTGATGAAGAATAAAAAAAAACAATCTTGCCAGCACGAGCAGTAAGTGTCCGACGTTTCGTGATCATCATTCCAGTGACGAGTCAAATACTGACGACATTTTCGTGCCACCAACAACAATTGCACCAGTGACTTTCCACCAATTATTTCCTGTCTCGAATATCGTAACACCAGGTAAATGTGTCACAAACTAAATTCTAAAATAGTTTTTATAACAATGCAGTACATGTTTACCAATTGTACTTTTTAGCCCGAGCCAGGGCTTATGTACCCGTTATGTCTGTCTGTCCGTCCGTCCGTCTGTCTTCGCGATAAGTCTTTTTAAACTCAACCGATCGACTTGAAATTTTTACCACATCTATATCTACCCAAAAGACAAATCAAGTTCGAAGATGAGCCGAATCGGTCCAGTGGTTGACCGGTGGGGGTCATGTAGGTGGTGGGGTTATTATGCATCAAATTTTCAAAATTGTCGTAGAAAGCTGAAATTTGGTACATAGGTAACTAATGGCTTATAATGAAAATCTATGAAGTGAATTTGCGAAAATTTTTATCTGGAGGGACCCTATGGGGTCACCCAAACTGATTTTTCAAACTCGTTCAATTAAGCCGAAATTTGGTATGGAAGTCGATAACAGCTTATAATGAGAGTTTATGATACAATTTTGGCAATTTTGACCCAGAGGTACCCGGTGGGGTGACCCATACTGATTTTGCAAAATCACTCAATTAAGCTGAATTTTGGCATAAAGATTGGTAATGACTTCTAATGAAAGAATACGAAGTTAAATTTAACAAATTCAAGTTGCACCCACCCTGGCTCGGGCTAAGCAAAGCTGCACTGTAGGTTTTTTTGATAGACGCAGAAATAGTGCAAGAGGCTCCATTTGTAAACACTATAGAAGTCCCAAGTGAAAATACTCTCCTACTCGACATCAATCAAGTAAGTACGAACTTTCCAGCGCAATCTAATCAAGTAAACTTTGCAGAGAACCAAGATTTAGCAAACCTTCTGAAAGAGTTACTGGAGGAGAATCGAAGTAATTATTAAAATCTTAAAACTAATAAATTTAAAAATTTCATGAAACTTCAGGCAGCAATGTGTATACTCCTCACTCCTCGTTCAAGTGTGAAATATTGGAATGATTTAGCTAGGTCTTTAATTGTACAGTTTGTAGAGGAAGCAGAAATAATTTATGGAGCAGAATTTATAATTTATAATGTGCACTCATTAATTCACATCTGCGACCATGCCATAAATTTTGGAAATCTATCTGGTATAAGTGCTTTTCCTTTTGAGAATCATATGCAAAAAATTAAAAGAATGTTACACAGTAAAACTTATCACTTAAATCAAATAGCAAAAAGATTGATCGAAATTTAGGCAATTATTGTCGAAGCCGAAAACAGGGATATCACATGCAGACTTACAGTTTCAAGTAATAATAAGTACGATAAAGGCTTCTGTTTAAGGGATTGCTCACATGTTTTGTTAAAGTACTGTAATAGCTCAGATTCTGCAGTTATAAAATTAAGATTGACCATAAATTTCCTAACTATCCATTTAATAGCATATCCCTTGGCATTTTCTGTGCTAAAATTTTTGTAGATGTAATTAAAATTAATATTACGGATGTAATTTATAAATGTTTGTTACTACCATTTAGAAATATGTTTGTATGTATACCTCTTCTTCATACAATGTAAAATAAATTGTTATAAAAAATAAATTTGTCTATTTTTCGATGGATTTTAGCATTAACTGTGCATTTTCCCGAACCTTCGCCGCATACTTGCCGGCTGTGGGGCGTAGCGTAAAAATGGAGGGCATGCACTGAGCCGACGGTTGCCCGCTGCAGCCTAACCGCAGGTCGCCCGATTATGGCCAAGTGGCCAAATTCGGCAATTTGCCGACACATTTTCTCCTGCAGCCAGCCAACTGTGGTCCAGCTATTTTGGCGAGTTGGGATAAGTCGTTGGTTAGGGCTAAAACCTATTTGTAATGCGGAATGAGCATTTTGTAAAAATGTGGAAGTCCACGAATATTTTGTTATCATTATGTCAAGCCTTAATTACGTGGGTGTTATATACTGTCGCATGTACAATGGACATATTGTCCATGAGTATGTATATACATATAAAACGAAAAACTTAATATAAATATTTTACTAAAATTTAGGAAGAAATAACTAACTTGAGTATTTAGAAGAGGACGCTGAACTTGAGACCCTAGCCAGAATTACTCCTGTACCCCAATTGTAAAAATGTATCTATGTAAGTACACAAATTTGCCTGTCCTTATTATCTGAAAGATGATGAAAAAAATATAACTCCAAAATATTTTAAAATTTCATTACTTTGTGTATTTTAAGGTTTTTTTAAAATATTTTAAATATATAACTTGAAAAATTAAAATTTCTATCCCAAGAATTGGTTTCCAATAAATCGAGCCCCGAAAAAGCAAATGACTTTGATATCCTCCTTTGCTACATAGTATATATGTAGTACATACTACTACGATAATAAATCACTAGAAATTTTCTGGCTCTGAATTTAGTTTTTGTAAATAATCCGGTTCAGCTGAAACTTACATAATCCAGTAGTCAATAATTGGTAATATTTAGAGGATGAAAATAAATTGATGCCAGGAAATTTACATAACGACATATATTTTTCAGGATCGTCCAATCGAGCTAAATTTAAGCATGGGGTTGTTACCGAATTTTGTCAGAACAACTTTTTTCAAATCAGCCTACCAGTCAGTGATTCTATTTATTTATACTTTTTTACTACAATATTTACATCAAAGTACGGCCCGAATTCTAACCAACTCAAATTAATTAGTGAAATGAATTAAATTGTTCGACTATTTGTTTTTAAAGGTGAAATACAATTTTTGCAATTATATGATAAAAATTGGAATCTAGCGAGGAATCGAACCCACGCCTCTTCAGTTTTCATGACTGATGCTCTACCACTGAGCTATAGAAACGATTCCTACCATATATTCCAACTTTAACTTGTATTTCTTTTTGCAAGTCTTTCTGTGAATTTCTACTTTCCTTTTTGTTTAAATTAATTAATTATCAAAATCGCCGGCTTTTAGCCTACTCTTGCACAGTTTTCAGCGCAAACCAAAACAGTCAAATGTTAGCGCCGGAATCATATACTGAATAAAATTCTCCTCCGTCAACACAAGTTTAGCTGTGACTCGCCTCACGCCAAAAAATACGTCTTTAACCTTCACCACCTTGAATGTCATTAAGGGATGGATGTCAGGGAACATCTGCCATCGCCATAGTAATTCCATTACACATTATGCTCAGTTTTCCCGATAATATTATTTAATAAATATCCATTTTTTTCTTCATGGGATAGTTGGTGTTTCCCGCTCTTAACATAATCAAACGTTATAATGCAATGAAAAGGCTGCCTGTTTGAGAAGTGTTTGGGTCGTGTTTTAATTCGTAAATTGGATTTATATACTCCCGACTTATATAAATACTTATGATAAGAATTGTTAATCATATCCATCAAGTTTCCGAGTTAAAAATATTTCTTTAGCTCAACATTTCGCAAAGCGTTGCCTGAAATTTAAAGTTGATTGATTTCATGTGAATGTGGTCTGATTAACTTTTAAAATATCGGCAGAAGACGAGTAGCCTGTGTATGGATTTACATAAGTATTTCATTGCTAATAATAAACCCCTTAATTTCGATAGATTGATGAGTTGCATAATTTATTACCGGATGGGATTCATCGCCGTAATACTTATCCTATAATATGTAAGATCTGCTGCGTAAGTTAGATATGTATTTTTCTGGATTTGTACCATTCTATTACACATATAGAATTTATTTAGCAACAGGCAATCAAATAATTATAATGTTATCATAAACGTGACGGCAATAAATATTTGTCTAATGGTTCAGAGCTGAGGACATTACTGAATTATCTACTCGTATTTTTGAAAACAACATTTATAATATAAAACAACATTAATATTTAATTTAAACTGCATTAAATACATAAGACTAAATCTTAAGACTATTTCTTACTGCAACATTTGTATGAATTGTTGTTGTTATCGTTTCCATGGGCGAATACCCGTAAGGAAACAGTGAAATAAATCCATTCATATTAAATACCGAATGAGTGATCAATAATAATAACAGATTGCTGTACAATATACTACATTCTTTGTCGACCCAGGTGATACTGAGCGACTAAATATTTCTGGGCTCAATCTGTTTCAATTGTTAGTAACCCTACTGGGAACCGTTTTCACAAGGTATGGCTGCAGTGGAGATAATTTTGTACTCCCTGACATGATCCGGTCTCTCAATATTTATTCTTGGGACTGCCACTGTCAGTATCCCTTCGGCATTAACTGTACAATGAACATTATCCTTGTCCGCATTGAGTGGGAGGTGGTACTTGCGCCTAAATGATCGAGAGATAAACCCTTGTGTATCTTCTTTCTCCTCATGTTCACCTTCGACAACGAGAAAGTCGTCCATCGTCTTAACACTAATTTCCTCTGGGGAAAAATGAGGTAGTTCAAGACGAACGGTAAATTGGTGTTTCGTTTTGTGTACTCCAATAATTGTAGGAAGATCTTCGTGGGACGTTAATACAGCCGACATAATTTTTCCTAAGAACCCCTTAGAATGACCGGGGTGTTTTCCTGGAGAAATAATGGTGTGAACTTTCCCACTTTTATTCACATCTGGTTTCTCTCGTGGCACGGTTACGGTGAGGATGCCATCGACATCTGCATACAAAATCAAGCAATGTCATTATTAATGCTATTTATTAGTGCAATAATTAATTAATTATTGGTAAGTGTAGAATAAGGAAAATTAAATTTACCAACGTCGCAACGAAGTCCGTCCTCAGTTGCATTACTTGGAAGGTGGAAGCGTCTCGTGAAGGATCGGGAGAGGAATCCGTACTCGTCTTCCTTATCTTCGTGCTCTCCCTTTATTACGAGTTCTCCATCTTCAGTGGTCACAAGGATTTCATCCACGGTAAAATTAACAACGTCCACTTTCACTTGTGTTTTATAGTCATCTTCAAAAACTTCTGCGAATCCCAACTCATTAGGGAGAAGAGAGTGTGAATAATTTGGCACCTTGTGGTAGTACCGGTCGCAGTAGGCATCGCTTGGATACGATAACCACATATTCCTTAGTAGAGTCTTAAAATGGCAGTGAAAATTAATGTTAGTGAAATAACGGTGTAAATGTGTGCAACAAATGTCAAGGAGAATTCTGCACAGATATTTAAGTTTATCGACTCGAGTGTGAGAGAAATAATGTGCATGAAATGTCTACTCTGCAGGTTTTTATTTCAGCCTCGGTATTTATTGTTTTGCTTGGGAGCCTCAAATTCACTCAAATTATGAGACTACGTGTGGATACAAACGTACAAACAATACGTGTGGATACAAACATGCTTCGCTTTATAAAATGCATTTGATACATGATAAAATCTGGAAAGGCAGGTAACGTGACTGAAGCGTGTTGGCCAGTCGCACAGTGTTAGTAATATGTAGTGTGGTATAGGATACTAAATATTCATGTGGGAGAATGCATTAACACGAGTTTGTTATTCGGAGGTTTCCCTCAGGGCATACGTGACGAGGTGATGGGATCTGGTTCAGCTTACATGATGACTACGTGCACCTGTGCATGGTTGGCTTTAGGGTGTTCATGTCGAGTTAACATGTTTATGGCAAAACAAAATAAATAAAATAAAATAAAATAAAATAAAATAAAATAAAATAAAATAAAATAAAATAAAATAAAATAAAATAAAATAAAAATTATTTTGTGAACTAGAACTAATCTACGCAAACGGACTATTTTACAAGCCATCTTAAACAAACATGTCGGGCAAAATTTGCGAACCTAAATTTTTATTATTTGTTTTTATTCAGTCTGTTTACGTCTAGTATTTTGTACAGACTCCATCATGGGGGCTAGGGTTTGCAATATCGGAATTAATACCGCGGTATTCACCGGTATTACCGAATGCCGAATCCCGGTTTTGGAAAGTTTAATACCGGTATGCGAATTAAAATTCTAAATATTTAATACCATCATTTCAGCCAAAAATTCTAGTCCAAATTTAAGTACAGCCCTTTCAGATAATATATAAAACGTATAAAAATCATAATCCATCACTCAAACTAAAACTTTATTGCAATTGCAATTTACTCGTAAAATTGAACATAGAATAAAACTTTATCCAAAATCTTCGGCGAATATCGGAAAAAAATTTGATAAAGCTCGCCTTTCGGATAAATTATTTCCGGTATAATATACCAGATATGGAAAACTGTTTAATCATTTAACAAAATACAAATTTCAATAATTGACTCAATTCTGCCAAAAAAAAGTGCCCACCACAAAAAATCAGTCACCGATAACATAATTTGATAAATAAGTGTTCCGTTAAGTGTAGACAATTGGAACGATACAAAGAAACATTTTTAGATACAATGAAGATTCTACTCGTGTTTAAATCCAAGCAGATTAGAAAATTTTTGCTTTTTGTTTACTTTTATATACGTTAGTATATGTTTAGCATAAGGTATCGGTAATACTGGAGGTCGCAATACCGAAAATACCGAATACCGGTTTTGAAAAAAGGCACCGGTTTGAATTTGAATTGAATTTAATTTGAATTTAAGCCTTTATTCACGTGTTAAAAGTTATCAGTTTACAAAACTGGTTTACAAACCATGACACGAGCAGCTATATCTATATGATTAACCTAATATACGCTAATAAACTTAATAATAAAATAGATCTTTGCGAGCATTTACAATGTGTTCGCGAACAGATTGTACAAACTTGTTGTAACTCATGCTTAGGTCCCAATCGCGTGGGAGTTTATTCCATAACTTAGTAGCACGATAGCTTACTGAGTTTTGAGCAAAATTGCACAATTTTACTGATAAGAGTGGCCAAGTGCGTCTAGTTGCAGAGGTACTCTTATTTTCCTGGAGGAATTTGAAGGCATGTTTATACAGAAACAGATCACGATGCTCGGAAAATGTCAGGAGATTAAATTTACTTAATAGATCGTTTACTTTGATGTTTTGCTTATTGATCTTGAAACGAGAATGTTTCTTGTGTAAAAATTTTTTTGCAAGTGAAGGGTACAGGTATTTTACTAGGAAAGAGTTGACTTTATGTTGTACAGAGTCAAGTTGCGCGTCAGTCTGTATAGCCCAAACCTCAATACAAAAGTCCATGATTGAGTGAATGTGACTATTAATCATGATGGCCATGACTTTCTCAGTAAGGTGACGTTTCAACCCATGTAAATATCCTAAACTACTTGAAACTTTCTTAGAAACAGTGGAAAACCGGTATTGCAAACCCTAATGGGGTCTGCGAAAATTCAACTGTTAACCTGAGTAAAATTTGGATAAATAAATAGGATAAAATTGCGACTTAACTTGTTGGAGAACGTAGTATGTTTTTAGCCCGACCAAGGGCTTATGTGCCTTTGTTGTCTGTCTGTTCGTCCGTCCGTCGGTCTTGTGATAACTCTGGTAAAACTCATCCGATCGACTTGAAATTTGGAACACACTAAAAACGTGGTAAATTAGGAACCAAGTTCGAAGATGAGCCAAATTCTTCACATAATAATATTAAATAATATTAAATATTATTATTTAATATTGCTTCACAGCCATGAATCTTACCAACATACCTTCCCTTATTTATTTATACAATCAATCAAAAATTTATTTAATTATTTACTGCATCAATTATTCATTCTATTATGTATTCAATCATTTATTTATCCAATCATTCAAAAATATATGTGAATATGTTATTTTTTTATGTAAAAAATAAAAAAAAACAATGTGAAATATCTTAAAAGTTAAGTACACTTAAGTATGCAAATTAAACAAGATAACAAATCGAGCAAAGTGAAGGTCATAAGTATTTATTACTACTTTATGTAATATCTATAACACCAAGTATTACATTTAAATAATCAGTAGTATTAAAAGTTTAATTGGCAAGAGGTAAAAAATATCTAAATTTTTACATCGCCATATTAATTTCTTGATGATTTGGATTTCTCAAACCAATTGCAAATATCGAACGTATATATAATTTATAGCATTGGATTTTATTTGTTAATAAAACATTTGAGCTTTGCACGAATTTTATTATTTAGTTAGAAACAAACTCCATTCTGCGATAACGTAAAATGTGAAAGGTAATACATCATAATTAAAATCTCTGCTGAATAACCAAATGCTGTCTAAGTGAGCTAAATATTTAATAGTTTGACCTAAATAAAGTTTAGTGCTGTAGAAGTACTCCAAAAGTTCGACTATTAAGTTTAGCAATTATACCTAAAATTTTGATGAATTGCAAACAAGAATTAAGGTTGATTACATTACTAAACTTGTTTACGTGTACCTAATAAATAATTCACCAGTAAAGCTCACCAGTAAAGCTTACGCTTTGCTTTACAGTAATTATAAAAGTTCAACTATTTATGCTAGAAACATTGGATATTGTTTTCAGTTTACGGTGGAGTTTGAAGAAGGAATATCCTTCCATTTAATAGCGCAACGATTCTGATACCTCAGCTGTATCTTGCCAATTTCACTACCCTCCATTACCAAAGATATCAACATGGAGAAGCTTTCAGTAGTAAGTTTCAGTTTTTTATTTCGATTTCTTGATCCAAGTATATTTAAAATGAAGTTTGTTTATGTTAAAGCGAACCTTTCAATGGGGGCTATTAACCATTCTCATCCTTCGTGTAAGAAGTGAAAAGGAAAAGTCGAACCCTTTGTTGCCCCTTATCCCTGATGTGATTGGTAAGTACAACATGAACATGTGATAACCTGAAGGAAATTGGTGCATTGCAAAAAATCCGTTATGGTCTGGCGTTAGATCAACTACCACCTCACAAAATATGGGGTGAATATGAGGGTGGGATTCCCATTAATTTTGGAAACTCAATCACGCCCCTCCAGGCAAACGACACTCCAATATCTATTCGTTGGATAGACGATCAGCCGGGGAGGTTATATGTACTGATGATGCTGGGTAGCTTATTTTATATGCGACACTTCGGAAGTAGGGTAATTAAAGACGATTATTGAAATTCTAGACATGGACGGACCAACGTCAGAAAATCCGGTAAACAGCCCCGTTAATCACTGGCTCGTTGGAAACATTGAGGTTGGGAAGGGCAACTCTTGGCGTCGTGGAACAGTTTTGGCCGTATATTCCAGACCACGTCCAGAGGAAGGTAGGTGCAGTTTAAGTTATGTTGGTTTAGGTTTAAGTATGTAGAATTTGCGAAAGAACTTGTCGAATAATATAATAAATTTCAGGAAGTGGTCTCCATCGGTATGTATTCCTCGTGTATGAGCAACCCGGAGGAGGAATGATCTCCTTCTCGGAGACGTTAATTCCCAGTGGACCGAGTTTGGCACGGCGAAATTTTGATTATCGCCAGTTTGCAAAGAAATATCGTCTTGGAGAACCTTTTGCTGCAAACTATTTTCAATCCTTCTTTGTTGATGGGGAATTTAATTAAAAATTGGTGTCATGAAGACGATGTCTCGAATAAAACTTTTTCGTTTTTGATCTACCCGATTTCTAATACACTTTTTACTCAGAGTCGAATTAATATATGCCCATCCCTGCTATGATAGTTAGAGTTAGCAAGTATGACATTCAAAGTTAGATACAGATATTTCTGTATTAGTTATGTATCGCAAATTGTTCATTAATTTATGTACATATAGAAACTTTTTATTAATCATCGCACTAACATAACAGCATAAACAGAAATTGATATTGAAATTAATCATGTCTCTTTTCATTCTTCTGCCTCGCCCTTCATCTGCCTAGCTGGAATCAATTCGCTGGTTTTTTACAGTTTTTCAATTTAACTACGGCTTTCAAAATTATCTGTAAATAATTAATTTAAAACGTAACTTATAATGTCTGCGTATTGGTCTATGTTTTTTTTAATTTAACATACCTGAATTTTTAACACATTGAACTTCATCGTTTTTTCCAAGTTGAACTTATTAGATTGAACTTTTGCCGAGTAGGGTCCGGATGACGGCAGTATTTCTTATCATTTAAGTCAAACACCCAACATATTGGAACCACTGCTACGCCTTTATCAATCGCGAACTCTACTATGGTAAAATCTTGGCTTGATCGAACATAATTTGTAATTACAAAATTAAGTACTGTTGAATAGAACCAAGAGAATCCGACTCAATCACAAAAATATGTTGAAATTGTGGGAATGAGTTGACCCCCACGTCGTCTGACGTAGCATGCTTTGCTCATTTATCTGTACAGATTTAATACAGATTTATTGCACACAAATTTCGGAATCAGTGCCCAATATTTTAGTGCGTATTGAATGCACATTTACACTCAAAATAAACTGGTGTCAATCCAGCGCGGTGTAGTCACATATAGACACCACGCGGTGTTAATTCCCGTATTAACACCGCGCGGTGTCTATATGTGACTACACCGCGCTGGATTGACACCAGTTTATTTTGAGTGTAGTGCCAAAAAGTCAACATTGAGATAATGAAGAATTATTTGTATCTTATTTATGCAAAATTGATGGTGCCTTTTTAATGATCGTAACTTGACGTATAGGAAGTTAGCCCAGCCCAGAACTGACATTTAGCCGACCACCGTCAGCCGCCTTCCGCCCAATTCCGTTCAACCCCTATTCCTTGAAGGAGTATTGCGTAAAAGTTTCAGGGGGTGTGCCGGCCACACCCCCCATGGGGCGAAGTGAGAAAATTGGGGCAAAGTGAGATTCTTGGCCAAATCATCGCTAAAGTGGTTTGCATCATGTGCAAACGTCCTGTGGGCGTGCCCACCACACCCCCTCGTTGGGGTAAATTGAGATTTTGGGACAAAACTCCCTCCACTTGTTACCCATCATGTGTGGGTGTGTAAATACGTCACCACACCCACCCCTTGGGGCGACATGAGATTTTGGGGTAAATCCTCGCCAAAGAGTTCTGCATCATGTTCATACGTCCTATGGGCGTGTCTACATACCCCCAGTCCCCTCGGGGTATGTTTTTAGGGTCAAAACCCCTCCAAGTGTTCCCCATCACGGTTAAAAGCCACCTGTGGTATCCCGCGGAACAACAAGTTATCTGGTGATGTACGGATGTGTTCCAAGCCCGGCGAAATCCATGGACATTCCATATAGGTAACCACACCCGCCATTGCGCCGCTTGTCACGCTTTGTTTACATGAATGCAGGACACATTATCTCCTCCTCCGAAGTAAGTTGGAGAGGCGCTGAAGGATTTGGGGGATTCATGACCAGTATAGAAAAGTTAATTTCAGGAGGATCCATTACGTGGAACTCGACAAATTCATAATTCCTTCTATATTACCCAAATTACCGGGAATTTTGCTTGAAGGGCCGCCAGTAGGATTTGTGACAATTATAGATGAGTTTGTCATGTGAGTTAAAGTCTCGTTGCAATTTTACTTGAAGAGGCACCGCCGAAATTTCGACAGATTTGTGACGAGTATACATGAGTTTGTCATGTGAGTCAATTTCATGAGTATTCGTCGCGTGGAACTCTGGAAATTCAAAATTCTTCCAGCGGGACTCACTACTCAGAATCCTAGGATTTTCAAAGTTCCGTGGGAATTTTATTTGAAGAGGCGCCGGCGGGATTTCGACAGATTTGTGACGAGTATACATGAGTTTGGCATGTGACTTAATTCCATGAGTATTCATTGCGTGGAACTCTGGAAATTCAAAATTCTTCCAGCGGGACTCACTACTCAGAATCCAAGGATTTTCAAAATTCCCTGGGAATTTTATTTGAAGAGGCGCCGGCGGGATTTCGACAGATTTGTGACGAGTATACCTGGGTTTGTCATGTTAGTCAATTTCATGAGTATTCGTCGCGTGGAACTCTGGAAATTCAAAATTCTTCCAGCGGGACTCACTACTCAGAATCCTAGGATTTTCAAAGTTCCCTGGGAATTTTATTTGAAGAGGCGCCGGCGGGATTTCGACAGATTTGTGACTTATTTGTGATTTATCCTATTACATCGACAGGACTATAATTGCAGGTTCGATGGGTCCATCTTTTTAATTTTGATAAGTTTCGTGTTAATGCCTCGTCCCGAATGAATTTTTGCACAGAAGTATCAAATCTGTATTTTCATAATTTTTGAAATTCATTTTTGAAATTTCTTCGAAAATGAAACTTGGGAATTACGTTAATCTAGGACCACTGATGAGTTGAGTTGCTGACTAAATCAACTGAAGATAAATATTTGTCTACTCCTAATTCTACACGACTTTAATTCGTCTCAACAAAAATGTTAACAACCCAAACTCATATCATATGGGACAATTCATTTTTGAAGTAACGTATTTATAGTTTCAAATATAAAAAAATTCGATGTTTGTAAATGTTAGACCAAACTGTTAATTTATCGTAAATGGGCCGTAAATGAACTGTTAATGGGTTGGCCCATACAAATTGGCCCACTCAATTACTAAAGTATAATTTTGCTATCCGTATAAATTTATATATTTATTTCACGTTATGAAAAACGGTATTGCTGTGAAGTACAAGCACTCTAGGCTGAAGTACGAGTCATGCATTTTATTAGTTTACAAGCTTTAACTATAATACTATCTCTTTGTACCCCGGGCAGTTGTGCGAAAAGCAGTCACAAGGCAAAAACGCTGACATCCAAATGTGGGCAAGATTTTGTTCGAGGGTGCTTTTGTTCAATTTCTTATTTTTTCCGAAGTCTTATTATTTAATTAAGGTAAATCGTGGTACTAAATTTTATACAAAATTCAGCAAGCTTGTGTAATTAGTTGCATAATTTCTGACTATTATTTGTATCTGTTTAGTGTCGTCATGTCGGAAAAGGAGGTGGATGAGTTTTGCAGGCTAAGGAAACTCGGACGAAACCATGTGGTCGAGTCAAATGGTGAGTAACTCAGATTACAATGACAAGATTTATTTATTTGTAATCATTTATATTAAAATTCAATTATTTTCTGTATAACTCTTAGTTATTGCCCGCCTAGTCCGATTTTCTCGTCTTTTAGAGAACACTTGTCGACACGAAAATGCGCTACTGATTGTAACAAGTGTCGAGGCCCTGCGCAAAATTGATCCGTTATTTGGAAAAATTACCCCTTCCGGCTTCAAAAAATTTCTTGCGCATCTAAACGAAGAAATATACACAAGTTTTATGACTCATTTTTTCGACAACCGGGAAGACCTTGCACCGCTACGAACTAAAATCTTCTCTGAATTTTGGCATTTTTCATGTCGTTTCAAACTGAAGAAAAAAAGTATGCGAAGTATTTGGTTTGAAATCTTTACTAATATTACTTATGCATATAAATCATGGATATCGGATGACGGTGTACTTTATTCTAGATGGACATTTTCAAGGATGTCCTAAAGAAGTTTTCGATTCTTCAGCGACCGGTGACCTAAGTGGTATTAATAATATGAACTTAAGTATAGAACAAGAACACCACGCCGAAGAATTTATCGGTTAGTTTTTTCGTTTGAAGTATGCATAAAAAATGTATTAAATATGCAAATCAGCAATCCTTAAATATGTTTGCTGCCATAATTTTTCAGTGGATAACGATGCACATTCCGAACAATGGTGCTCATCGTCAAGTACATATTCTGGTAAGTGAAATTGAACCGGTTCTTAAAGTTCGCAACATAAATCAAATTCAATTTGCATATAGGGACTACATTGTCAATGACGCCTCAATTTCATTCTGAGCTGGGGGTACTATCCTGTGGCATAGGAGTTGTAGAAGGTCAGTCTTCCTTGTGAACACAAATTGTGACGGATATAAACCAGCAAATATTAAACTTCTTATAGGTGGCCCCACGACAGCCTCATTATCCCCAAGATTTAGTGGTAAGGTTGTCAAAGAAGTTATTAATCATGGCGATAATAATCCGAACGAACGTATAATTATTTGCTCCGCTCAGGCGTTGAAAATCTTTGGCTTACGATGGAACCTCTTTTCAAGCTACACCGGGATTGTCTAACGAGTTATATCGAAAAATCAAGCCAATAATTAGGAATATCATGGCGCTTATCATTCCGTTGAATGGCCCCTTTGAAGAAAAATATTCTCAGAAAAATACGCAAAGTCCAATTTTAGAGTTAATTTTCTTTTGGTTTCTCCGCCACGGGGCGAAAACCTTGGCGCTCGTGGGTACTTAGAACCCCAATATTTTCTTCAAAGGGGCCATTGAACGGAATGATAAGCGCCATGATATTCCTAATTTTTGGCTTGATTTTTCGATATAACCCGTTACACAATCCTGGTGTAGCTTGAGAAAAGGTTCAATTGTTAGTTGAATTTTTCTACAAAATGCAATTTTTTTTATATTCAGGGACAACCATATCGATGACTCCAACTTCTCCGTTCCATAAGGAAAACGTAAATTACAACTCGTCTGGTAAATACACTTTTACTTCACCTAAATCTCCAACCAAAAATACCAATTTTGTCTGATTTAAACAAATAGGTCAAGAACGCCGAGAAGTCAAGGAAATGCTACCCGGGGATTCTTT